ACAAACTGGTGTAAATAATATAGTAGACAAAGTAGATCCTCACCCTGTTTATAAAGTGGGATCTATTGACAAACACAAACTGATGTAAATAATATAGTAGACACAGTAGATCCTCACCCTGTTTATAAAGTGGGATCTATTGACAAACACAAACTGGTGTAAACAGTGCTGAACTAGATAATCCAGGCCCTCCTGTTCAATATCTCACCTTAACTCATATTTAAACTGGACTTGTCTTGTCTTTGATTTGGTAAGGTTCAAATGTGACCTTAGGGGTGAATTGGTTAAGCTTATAAGGGGTCATCAAGGGAAACATTAATTGTTTAGAAGTATCTGAAAATTAACAAATAATTGTTTTGTTTCCTGTTGGTCCTTTTGAATCTATAGATACAGTTCTAGGTTTCAGCTTCATATTTCTATAACGTATACCCGAGGGGAGATTTACATTAAGTTGGCATTATGTAGGCATTGAACAACCTAACCTTTGAGTGCATAGAACTTAATTTGCATCAATGTCTTTCCTCTGTACTTTGAATAGCTAACACTTTTGTGATATTATTAGAAATATCATCCATTCTTTTAATCATATACTTGTTTCCTTATCAATACCAGTAATATTCCATTTTGTGTGGTGAATACTTAAATATTTTTTCATGAGTGCAAAGTAAGAATAAAGTTGATTACCCTACATGTATGCTACGAGATTGTATTTTAAATGAACCTAAAGTATCGAAAAAGAAACACTGAATATTCTTTATAGTATATTTTTGACACATATGTCACTGAATTCACAGAACATATCAACAATGAACACAAAAACCAGTTCTTGTTATCATCACAGCAAAGGCTGATTCCTGATTTGTCAATTAACAGTAAAAACAATGTTTACTAATTTTGCTTCTGTGGAGAAAAATATTACCATGTTATTTTCATTTGAAACCTTACCCTATTACACATGTATTCGATCTTGGTAAAATATTCATACTGCTGATTTCCAAGTATCTTAACAGAAAACCTACGGTGGTCCATATTCATAAGTTGGTCTCCTGGCAGCGAAGAGTTCTGTAGAAGGGAGAGTAGAGAAGCCAGTTTTTGATGGACTACTGGGTATCATGGAGGACTGGACAGGTACATGTTTGGACATTGGGTAGTCGTTCAACATATGGTGCTGTAGTCTGTCTGTCTCCTTCCTCTGAGCATCCAGCTGAGTCCTGGGAAATAGATACCAAGTTACAGTAGAGATACTTAACAAAGAAGGGTACAAACACACTTCAACCTTAGGGATATTTACAATGGAGTTACCAGTAGTACAAATCCATGAAATTCTTTTCAAATATAGTTTTTGGCTAAATGTCGCCTTTCTATGCAAGAAATTTTGTATTCAATTCAATTATTTTTTCCATTTTTAACCTAAACAATATAACATTATATGGATCTAACTGCAAATAAACAAAACACAAAAAAATATATATATATAGATATAAGCATAATAATTAGCAAAATAATGAATAATCTCTCCTGTCCAAACAGGTCGGCAACCTAAGATATTAATGTGTATGCTAGAACTAAGGGACGAGTACATGTAGCCCTGGCTAGTATAGAACTAACAGACAGCTACATAAAACTAATATATTCCTGTGCCTACTATCCAATACCTCAAAGATTAACATATTAATTCCCTCCTTGACAAATTGATTTTCAGACAAAGATTTATATTTCCAAGGACAGCCTGGTGGATTCATTTGGTTTTCATTTAAATCATGAAGAGGCTTATTAATCTCGACTCATCCTGACTCGATCGTTTCTATCCAACGTAAATAAACAAAATTTATTACACCCAATATTTCATGGACAATCTGCCAGGAAGGTAATAAATAAAACACGTTTACTTTGTACTTATAATGTTATTATAGGGGATTTACTCCTCCCTGGTTGAGAAGGAGTGATGGCTGTTTTATTGCTGAGCTGATCATCCTCGGATATTAGTGCTAACTCCTGTACTGTATATCAATTGATATCCTCAACCACAATTTGGACAAACATATACACACGATTAATTTTTAAAAGTTAACAGATATATAACTTTTGGCCATTACCAATACACATACAGGCGAGGATATATTTTGATCACAATTGAATGGTTAGCTTATATCTTGTAAGATGACCATAAATATATCAAAGCATATTAAAGTGGGGTTTTTTTGTTATGAAGCTGCATGACTATGAAGCAGCTTTATAGATAATTTATTACTTACATTTTCACAGGCCTGTTCAATTGCATTACATTGAGTTAAAAAGTAATGTACCATATGTATTCTGACAGCCGGTAGCTATGTAATCATGTTATACATGAGTCTGCTGTTCAATAAAGTATTAAAATATATATACATATATAATCCAATCAACTGTACATATATACAGCTGTTGGCAATAAGTGACTTTGCACAGACAAAAGCTACAATATGTTATTGTTTGTTTATTGAAACTTATTTTGTAAAGACTGATGCACGGTTTATCAAAAGTTTAATGCACTTATAATTAATTACCAAAGGGCTGATGTTGAGCTTAACTGAGTTATGATGTTGAGCTTACCTGAGTTATGATGTTAAGCTTACCTGAGTTCTGGTGTTGAGCTTAACTTAGTTATGGTGTTGAGCTTAACTGAGTTATGATGTTGAGCTTACCTGAGTTATGGTGTTGAGTTTACCTGAGTTCTGGTGTTGAGTTTACCTGAGTTCTGATGTTAAGCTTACCTGAGTTCTAATTAGGAGCTTACCTGAGTTCTGATGTTGAGCTTACCTGAGTTCTGGTGTTGAGCTTACCTGAGTTATGATGTTGAGTTTACCTGAGTTCTCATGTTGAGTTTACCTGAGTTATGATGTTGAGTTTACCTGAGTTCTGGTGTTGAGTTTACCTGAGTTATGATGTTAAGTTTACCTGAGTTCTGGTGTTGAGCTTACCTGAGTTCTAATTAGGAGCTTACCTGAGTTCTGATGTTAAGCTTACCTGAGTTCTCATGTTGAGCTTACCTGAGTTCTAATTAGGAGCTTACCTGAGTTCTCATGTTGAGTTTACCTGAGTTCTGATGTTAAGCTTACCTGAGTTCTAATTAGGAGCTTACCTGAGTTCTGATGTTGAGCTTACCTGAGTTCTGGTGTTGAGCTTACCTGAGTTCTGATGTTGAGGTTACCTGAGTTATGATGTTGAGTTTACCTGAGTTACATTTTGAGGTACCTGATTTCTTATGTTGGGCTTACCCAACATTTCATGCAAAGCTGAGAAGTTGAGTTTATCAGACAATAACCTAACCTGAGGTCTGATACTGACCTTACCTGTCATAGAATGGGGAGCTTTCCTAACATTGTCAGGTCTGATGATAAGCTGTCTGAAGTCTGACAATGAGCTTAGTCAGAATGTTTGATCAAGAACTTACCTGAGGTCAGATATAGTTTTCTGTTCAGCGGAGATGTCTACCAGTGCTGACAGTGTAGCGGGTGAGGTAGGAACAATGACTGGTTTACCATGGCTATACCCAGGCATCTGTTAACAAAGGAAGGCCATCATTATTAATGTCCAATTTTATTCTGTAGGGTACAGCTATGTAAAAGTAATACTTTGTTTCAAAATGAGTCCAATTAATTAAACCAAACTGACTAGATGATTGATTATTCAACGAGCCACATATACATGCATTATATCTACAATTCATTAGAGTTAATTAATATAAGGTTAACACGTCAATGTACAGGGATAAATAATACTTAAATGTGGTAACTAATGTTATTAACATTACTTTTAGTAAATCTATTAAATCCTATGTTACATTGCACAATCAATCTATACTGTATCAAGGACTGGCATGTGAAATGTTAATTGTCAACCAAATTTAATTGTTTGATGAAGACAGGAAGCAGCTACAGCTCAAGGTTATTATGGGATGGAAGTGTTAAATCTAATGCTTATATATATGTGTGCAATAATGAAGCTGTCACACTGGATAATTGTACCGATCATACATGCAGTTATAAAGGGCAAAGTCAGATGGAAATGATTCCTATAATACAGCTATAAAGGGCAAAGTCATATGGAAATGATTCCTATAATACAGCTATACAGGGCAACGTCATATGGAAATGATTCCTATAATACAGCTTTAAAGCAGGAATTGATTTACATCATCATCACAGGTCAAAACTTGCAATGTACACCAATACATGTAATTTACCTGCATGCATTAAAATGCAAGGTCCTTCGAATTCATTATCAAGTACAATGTAAGTACATTACCGGTACTTGCACTTATATGTAAATCACGGTTATTAGATTGCCGACTCCTTGCCATTTTAAATAATTACATAATTAATGTTCATGCCAACTTTAAGGTCAATCAATATAAATAATGGACAAATGTCAGTTTTGGCATTATTTACTTTTAATTTTCAGTAAAAAATTAGAAAGGGCTTAAATTAAAGCATCTGGGTGAAACATAAGATTACAGTAAAAATGTGTTATTGATGGGGAATGAATTTTGTGTTATTTTAATGCTGTTGATTCTAGCAAGAACAGACTGATCGATTCCCACATGGTAATCAATATAGGCCAGGTAAGCGATACTGGAGTGCCTGACATATCCCACCCTACAATAGTGCCTCCACCGACCCGAACACTCCGTAAACGCTCATCAGCTTTTGTTATGTGGTATTTTAAAGACGTTATTAAGAGTAAATTTACATTGAGGTTCAGATTTCCTATTTGAATTTAATAAACACTTGTCTGCTCATCAAAGTGTAAATAATTACACTGTGTATAGTTAACTTCTCTGGTTTCAAAGTCGTAAATCAAATTCATCAAGGACATGTCCATTCAAAATCACCTAACCACGGTTGGTGTATAGATTGGATCTCAATCTAGCAGTGCGAAAAATTAGTTTAGAAAAAATATTATTATGAATGTTTTGTCTTGAATAGTCCACTCTGATGTGGTAAGCTACAAGTGGCAGTATTTTGTTATTAAATAGATCCCTTTGTTATTGAACAAAAGTGTCAATACGGACTGGAAACACACTGTAGATATATACATAGACATAGATTGTATTTATCTAATAACAAAAGACTACTCCTCAAAGAAGATTTAAAGGTTACAGAACGGTAGACCTATAAATAATTACATGTGAGCAAAATATTGATATACAGGATTGTGTTCTGTTAACACTACTGCCGACGGAGAATTAACTTCAATTCAATGTATGCATTACATTTTATGCAAATTGTTAATGTAGTCGTATAAATAAGCCTAAGGCAGCCAAAGAACCACATTTGCTTTGCAAATAGATATTTTATGAATGTTTGACAGATGCAAATTGAACCGGAACTACTTTTCAGTGAAAACTTTACAAAATGACAAGTGAAGTGCAGGGATATATAATTGGCTTAAAGTGAAAAGTACATGTATATTGTTAGGGGATAAAACCTGTACGGATACAGAACGGGTGAGGGCCTACCCACTATCATCTCTAATGCTTAAAGTACATGTATGTTGTTAGGGGATAAAACCTGTACGGATACAGAACGGGTGAGGGCCTTAACCCACTATCATCTCTAATGCTAAAAGTACATGTATATTGTTAGGGGATAAAACCTGTACGGATACAGAACAGGTGAGGGCCTTAACCCACTATCATCTCTAATGCTAAAAGTACCTGTATATTATTAGGGGATAAAACCTGTACGGATACAGAATGGGTGAGAGCCTACCCACTATCATCTCTAATGCTTAAAGTACATGTATATTGTTAGGGAATAAAACCTGTACGGATACAGAACGGGTGAGAGCCTTAACCCACTATCATCTCTAATGCTAAAAGTACATGTAACAGTAACGACAGTTTATAATGCCAACTTTATTAGTTCTCTAGGTACTGGTAATGGTAAACAGGACTTTAGAAATTGTAGCCAAATTAACATGTTGTGGTAGGACAGTATCAATACTACAGAATTCTTTACACTAGCTTATAACACATACATAATGCAGAGATGTTTTTTTACTCTAAAAAAGGTCATCTATAATTTAAGTCGCTACCTTGAACAGAGCAGTGACGAAAATCTTCAATAAACATGCAGCACTACTTCCTTACTAAAATTGGAGGTCAAAATTTTAAAAATTAACAAGTGGCTTATAATTAAATAATTACAAGCTAAGTGATTACTGCCATGGGGTGCAACATGTGCCAGCTTGTATGTTATGATCAGTATAACAGTTACCTCAGTGCCAGCTTGTATGTTATGATCAGTATAACAGTTACCTCAGTGTCAGCTTGTATGTTATGATCAGTATAACAGTTACCTCAGTGTCAGCTTGTATGTTATGATCAGTATAACAGTTACCTCAGTGTCAGCTTGTATGTTATGATCAGTATAACAGTTACCTCAGTGTCAGCTTGTATGTTATGATCAGTATAACAGTTACCTCAGTGTCAGCTTGTATGTTATGATCAGTATAACAGTTACCTCAGTGTCAGCTTGTATGTTATGATCAGTATAACAGTTACCTCAGTGTCAGCTTGTATGTTATGATCAGTATAACAGTTACCTCAGTGTCAGCTTGTATGTTATGATCAGTATAACAGTTACCTCAGTGTCAGCTTGTATGTTATGATCAGTATAACAGTTACCTCAGTGTCAGCTTGTATGTTATGATCAGTATAACAGTTACCTCAGTGTCAGCTTGTATGTTATGATCAGTATAACAGTTACCTCAGTGTCAGCTTGTATGTTATGATCAGTATAACAGTTACCTCAGTGTCAGCTTGTATGTTATGATCAGTATAACAGTTACCTCAGTGTCAGCTTGTATGTTATGATCAGTATAACAGTTACCTCAGTGTCAGCTTGTATGTTATGATCAGTATAACAGTTACCTCAGTGTCAGCTTGTATGTTATGATCAGTATAACAGTTACCTCAGTGTCAGCTTGTATGTTATGATCAGTATAACAGTTACCTCAGTGTCAGCTTGTATGTTATGATCAGTATAACAGTTACCTCAGTGTCAGCTTGTATGTTATGATCAGTATAACAGTTACCTCAGTGTCAGCTTGTATGTTATGATCAGTATAACAGTTACCTCAGTGTCAGCTTGTATGTTATGATCAGTATAACAGTTACCTCAGTGTCAGCTTGTATGTTATGATCAGTATAACAGTTACCTCAGTGTCAGCTTGTATGTTATGATCAGTATAACAGTTACCTCAGTGTCAGCTTGTATGTTATGATCAGTATAACAGTTACCTCAGTGTCAGCTTGTATGTTATGATCAGTATAACAGTTACCTCAGTGTCAGCTTGTATGTTATGATCAGTATAACAGTTACCTCAGTGTCAGCTTGTATGTTATGATCAGTATAACAGTTACCTCAGTGTCAGCTTGTATGTTATGATCAGTATAACAGTTACCTCAGTGTCAGCTTGTATGTTATGATCAGTATAACAGTTACCTCAGTGTCAGCTTGTATGTTATGATCAGTATAACAGTTACCTCAGTGTCAGCTTGTATGTTATGATCAGTATAACAGTTACCTCAGTGTCAGCTTGTATGTTATGATCAGTATAACAGTTACCTCAGTGTCAGCTTGTATGTTATGATCAGTATAACAGTTACCTCAGTGTCAGCTTGTATGTTATGATCAGTATAACAGTTACCTCAGTGTCAGCTTGTATGTTATGATCAGTATAACAGTTACCTCAGTGTCAGCTTGTATGTTATGATCAGTATAACAGTTACCTCAGTGTCAGCTTGTATGTTATGATCAGTATAACAGTTACCTCAGTGTCAGCTTGTATGTTATGATCAGTATAACAGTTACCTCAGTGTCAGCTTGTATGTTATGATCAGTATAACAGTTACCTCAGTGTCAGCTTGTATGTTATGATCAGTATAACAGTTACCTCAGTGTCAGCTTGTATGTTATGATCAGTATAACAGTTACCTCAGTGTCAGCTTGTATGTTATGATCATTATAACAGTTACCTCAGTGTCCGATCTATAGCTTCCATAGTCTGTACCACTGGATGTTATAGAACCTGTTTCTGGAAGAAAGAAATAACCACCATTAAAGTTGTAATTAACGTTCCTGTAACAATAAACTTTGTAATGTTGCCTCAAAAACTCTATAGAAAGCAATCTCATCAAATGAAAACCTGCAAGGTATGAAGATTCATTTAAGTAAATGTAAAAGCTGGTGCAGCTACATTGCATAGAGCTGGGAATGTACAATTTGAGCATGTTGACATAAAACTCAATATTTTTCTTAAAACCATTGTATTATAGTTGCACTCTAGGTGGTAATTTACAATCTTTTGAATATTTACAATACCCTAATATCTGTTAACTTACCATAAAAAGCAGGAGGGTTTACCCGAAAGCTGTGCATGATTTAGAAAGCAGGCATGTGTCAACAAGGAAACCAAATATGGCTTGAAAGGTTTGCCAGCTATCTAAAATGATCTGTTCACTCAATTATTTATAGTCCTTTATTTTGCTTTGAGAAGCAGGTATTTTTATTGACTGTCTAAAATATGCAACATGTTAGGATCGAGGGACATGTGTTTGTTACATGCCGTTATTTCATTGCATCCCTTTAAATTGGAAGATATTCTAATGACTTCTACAGCTACTACATACATGTACCATGAGGTGCTAAGTAACACCCAGAGTTATTAGGCTTAAAACTATCTAATTAAGTATGTGGAAGGGGCAAGGTGGTGGTATGTTAGCACTGATTGATTAAATATACATGCGGGGAAAAAAACTTGGTTAATGCTATTGGAACATAAAACTGAAATCTTTATATACATGTATATCAAATTTTCAAATAAGACAGCAGCAAATAATGGAATACAGTCAAACTCACATATTACATCTGTATTAATGGTCCTACATTATGAAAGTCAAGTTTTTTGTATAATGTTATTCTTCTACCTATAAATCAAATTTTGCTCTAATATTATGAGTGTTTACATCCATCATGAAGTCATTATTTGGTCCCATATTTAAACATTAGGATAGTATGGTCCTAATGACTTTGACCTAATTGAAGGATGGATTTATCTTTTAAGAGCTAACTACTCGGATCCTATGCCACCTAGCTAACACCTCCACATAGCATGTTGGTATATTCTGTCAAGGCTCTAACTGGCACCAATTTTTTCTATTGCCACTTCTCAGTTGATTATATTTACAGCACAGCCACTGTAACACCCTGCCCAGACCATTGCATACACCAATAACAATTTCCGTGAAAAGTTTAAAATCCATGCAACGACAACTTTGGGTTTGAACTCTGGCCATTGATCTGCATGCACAGAAGGCCAGTGTTAAACACTCAACAAAAATCCTGACTTCCCAACATTTTTGTTGAGAGGAATTTTACTCAAGATACCTGAAGATCCATAAAGATTGGAAAAAGTACAATTAATGGTCATGTAAATTTATGATGTTGTGAAAATGCCATTATTTACAAAAAGAGGCAATATCTTTTAACATTTGTCTCCCTACAACAGTAAGTGGTACCTGACACTGACAGTAGACATAGTTAAAACTGGGACCAATATATGTACCAACCAATATCTAGCATGTCACCCGATACAACTTTCTCGTTTCTAGGTTTTAAATTGTTTGTTTGACCTTTTGGTAATCTCACAACTGCAGCTCAATTTGGAGCTTTGTTTATTTTAATCTAATAAATACATATGATTTCATCTCACTTAGCAACAGTGAAGTGTTTTACTTCACAAACGTTAGTGTGAAACAATTAAGTTTACGTTCTTGAATCATGTCTACACACGTAACGAAGCGCGATGAAAGATCGTAGTTTTGTAGTGAAATCATTGATCATAAAATGTTTCATTTGAAATATGGATTGATGGATGTTTTTTTTAAAGTTTAAGAAATAACATAGATGTAACCTTGTAAATAAAGTGGTATCATATTGATAGCATTACAATTAATTAACATTGAGTTGAGGATCACTGTCCTACTGCACTGTGGTTTTACCTATATACAGTTACCTCCCCTTAAGGATCACTGTCCCACTGCACTGTGGTTTTTCCTATATACAGTTACCTCCCCTTAATGATCACTGTCCTACTGCACTGTGGTTTTACCTATATACAGTTACCTCCCCTTAAGGATCACTGTCCCGCTGCACTGTGGTTTTACCTATATACAGTTACCTCCCCTTAATGATCACTGTCCTACTGCACTGTGGTTTTACCTATATACAGTTACCTCCCCTTAAAGATCACTGTCCTTCTGCACTGTGGTTTTACCTATATACAGTTACCACCCCTTAAGGATCACTGACCCACTGCACTGTGGTTTTACCTATATACAGTTACCACCCCTTAAGGATCACTGTCCCACTGCACTGTGGTTTTACCTATATAGTTACCTCCCCTTAAGGATCACTGTCCCACTGCACTGTGGTTTTTCCTTTAAATACATTAACCTCAAGCTTGCCTTAACTAGAAAATCTTAGGCCAAGACACATTCATTGCCTGGGTAAATCATCAGATCAGTCAATTATAGAGTGATTATGTAACAATCTGAGATCCAGGGTTAAAATTACTGTCTTTAAGCCCCGCTATTTTCTCACACTTATAATATTTTGTTTATTTTATCTTTACTATTTCTCATAAAAGTCCTGTAATATAAGTATGGTTTTCTTTTCAAAATGATTTATCTAAGCTATACTCTTGCTGGAAAAAAGCAGTTTCCAACATTAATTCACAGTTTTTGGCAGTGGTACAGGGATCCTTAAGTTTGACAAACTTTTCCCAAAAACACAGACCTTTTTTTATTTGTTACCAACAATATTTGGACAATCTTTTCCACTCTATTTCATTTATCATGTGTACCGAGATTAAATTTTCCTTTTCTTTTAAATGAAAATGACAAAATGTTTAAATGTTATTTATTTAAAAATTATGTTCAGCAAGGGGATATAATTATCACAAAAATATGTCTTTAAAATGTTTATGCACCAAACAACTCAAAAGACTTTATAATTACAACAAGCGACACAAGCAGGGATATATGATACGAGGGAAAGTATTTTAAACGTTTTAGTGTTTATACAATTCCTCAAGGTAGATAAGCCAGAACTCTGCCGTCACCCAGAAAATCCTTTTGTTTTGAGTATGCCACATGCTGATAAAACTGTCCACTCTCCTGGTGCCCCAGTAACAAGATCGGATGACAGATTGAGACAAACTAATCCCATTCATGTAGAAGTTTTGAAAACATCTAAAGACAATATAGTAGAAGGGTGTCTGTGTGTTAAATACTTGGTCACTATTTGTTTAGGCTGTATACTTAACCCTTGAGATGAACATGTAGTATCTACTGAATCCTAAAGTGGTCTTACTCGGTACGTCGTGTGGCCATTTACCACTATATGAGGATACAGGAATGCTACCGGTGTCAATACATAGAAAGACATAAAAATCATATAGAGCTGGAAAACCTGACAAAATTAACCATAATGACCAGGCAAGTTGATACAAGATCGGTAGCAGTACGCATAGCATTTAAATAACAACCGGATGAATGCGCAAAAAAAGAAATCTTACTTTGGACACATGTAAAATACAACCAAATTCTGAACACAAAATGTCCCTGGAATTATGTGTTAACTGTAATTGTATATAGTTCTATGTTGAAAATGATTGCTACCAAGAGAACATATGTAAATAATAAGTATATGTACATTACTACTGAATATATGGTACAAAAACTACACATAATAATAATAGCCATACTGATTGTACCCGATTTTTGGATTCGGCTAAGGTTGATAGTTAAGTACATGAAAAAATGTAGAAACATATAATATACTATTATGCCCTGACAACACATTTTATACAATCACATTAATTATTCATATTATCTTTGACTTGAAAGTATTACACCATTTACAACTACATTGTAAATATTTTAATTTCTACCTTTTTCCATTCCTATTCGTTTAACTTTTTTATAAGCATTTTAAGCTAATGTATATGCCATTTTGATTAATGAAGCCTTTTGATTCTATTTAACTCATTCAGACCCTAAAATTTCATAATTAACTATTCCAACCTTTGAATTGAAAGAATTCAAATGTGTCTTCAGGGGTGAATTGGTTAAAGTGTATATGAAATCAGTGATGTACTGATCAATATAAGCCATGTGTCCACAACCACTCAAGTATTTAACTTCGTACATTATCACCCATACTGTGTCCACTCTTGACCAATTGGAAAAAGATAACACAATATTGCTCTAATCCCAGTTGATTGAAAGAGGGGATCAAGAGATTATAGACGAAAATGTTTCCTTAATCATGTCACCACACATTAAACGATAAAGGTCACAGTCACTGAACTTCAAGGACATATATGTATATGGAATTATTGAGACATTCTGAGTTTTGAATTGATAGATTAAGAGCTTTATTATAAAAAAGGTTCCCAGGGTTGAACACTAACTAGCTACTTGGTAGCTTGTCCACAGGACTAGTTGAACAGATTATTTGCTTGTCCTACGTCAACGTACCTATGTCCCAAGATTTCCTAAAGGAAACATTTCCAGCACAAAACATAAACAGTTATTCATTGATATGGGGTCATCCCAAAAACTACAATACAGATATATATTGCATGATAATTTTAAAAAAACTTGGGTAATTATCTGCATTAAGGGGTTTTCCAAAAGGAACAAATGATATTGTGAAATTAAAGGACCAGTTTGGTAAGGTGATTCAATATTATAAGTCCTTGTTGAAATCTACTTGTCTCGGACTAGAGGACTAGTGTTTGTCTAACCGTATTTCCACAATACATTGGATGATACACTTCTGGTGTTTACTTCCAAGGCATTAAGGAATTTTCATACCTACTGGCTAGCCTCTATTAACCACCATTTTGGTATTCCCAATTTCCACTTTTATATTCCAATTTTCTAAGAAACTTTGCATACACGTTTTTCTTTCAAGATTTCAAACTCATAAAAAGATTTTTCTGACGGACCAAACAGTGAATCTTAAGTTTATAAGACTTGTTTTTCTCAATTTCCCAGTCACTGTTGAAATGTTCCAATATCTGATTTCCTCACTTCAAGGTATAACATTGCAACCCTCCAGTATTCTCATATATATAGGAAGGTACCTGGTATGTATAGCTAGCACTTAATTTATAATTGTCAACAGGCTCTCAAGCAGCTAATATTGTAACAGTACACAGTTGTAAACAAATAGTAAGATCACTGATCTGAACGATATGTCAAAAATGTAGTGTTATTGTCTGATAGAACAATATATATATACCTGTGGAGAAACAAATCTGATCGATAGCTGAAGTCCTGTTACTTGTTGACGGAACACTTGAGTGGGGTCACTAATATCTGTATATATACACAGCGTATATAATACCCGTAAGGTTATCAACATCATCTAAATTTCTTCACCTACCATTTATATCTTAGTTTCCATAGTAGCTTTGCTTATGTACTGATCTCAAGTATTGATCAGTATTATAACATTACTATAATCTCTTTTTGTTATATTTTCACATACTGAAATTTTAAGAATTGCATTCACATTGCTTGTTTGATCATGATCAGATCAGATAAGAACTGATTACATTTATTTTTTCATTACAATATCGCTTAATTTAGATTCCACAGATCTGATAAAGCCTCATGGTCAGTAACAGGAAAGGAAAACTGCACGGCCAACAAGGTCTTTCTTTTTCTCTTTACAAATGTACAAAGAAAGCCTTAAGAATGTGTTTCAGCTCCCTAAAATGATCTTTGACACTAAGGTCTGAGAGAGTAAGTCCATTGGATGCATGATTTGACTATCCAAAATTCTGAGAAGATTTAATCTACTTCTGAATTTGGTAAATGCCAAAGGTCAACTGAAAGAACTACTAGTACTGGCCAGCCAGAATTCAACTCTTGGACCTCTGAACTCTAAATGGACACTGGTACTGGCCAGCCAGAATTCAACTCTGGGACCTCTGAACTCTAAATGGACACTAGTACTGGCCGGCCAGAATTTAACTCCGGGACCTCTGAACTCTAGATGGACACTAGTACTGGCCAGCCAGAATTCAACTCCGGGACCTCTGAACTCTAAATGGAAACTAGTACTGGCTAGCCAGAGTTCAACTCCGGGACCTCTGAACTCTTAATGGACATTAGTACTGGCCAGCCAGAATTCAACTCTGGGACCTCTGAACTCTAAATGGACACTAGTACTGGCCAGCCAGAATTCAACTCTGGGACCTCTGAACTCTTAATGGACACTAGTATTGGCCAGCCAGAATTCAACTCCGGGACCTCTGAACTCTCAATGGACACTAGTACTGGCCAGCCAGAATTTAACTCCGGGACCTCTGAACTCTAAATGGACACTAGTACTGGCCAGCCAGAATTCAACTCCGGGACCTCTGAACTCTAAATGGACACTAGTACTGGCCAGCCAGAATTCAACTCCGGGACCTCTGAACTCTAAATGGACACTAGTACTGGCCAGCCAGAATTCAACTCCGGGACCTCTGAACTCTAAATGGACACTAGTACTGGCCAGCCAGAATTCAACTCCGGGACCTCTGAACTCTAAATGGACACTAGTACTGGCCAGCCAGAATTCAACTCCGGGACCTCTGAACTCTAAATGGACACTAGTACTGGCCAGCCAGAATTCAACTCCGGGACCTCTGAACTCTAAATGGACACTAGTACTGGCCAGCCAGAATTCAACTCCGGGACCTCTGAACTCTAAATGGACACTAGTACTGGCCAGCCAGAATTCAACTCCGGGACCTCTGAACTCTAAATGGACACTAGTACTGGCCAGCCAGAATTCAACTCCGGGACCTCTGAACTCTAAATGGACACTAGTACTGGCCAGCCAGAATTCAACTCCGGGACCTCTGAACTCTAAATGGACACTAGTACTGGCCAGCCAGAATTCAACTCCGGGACCTCTGAACTCTAAATGGACACTAGTACTGGCCAGCCAGAATTCAACTCCGGGACCTCTGAACTCTAAATGGACACTAGTACTGGCCAGCCAGAATTCAACTCCGGGACCTCTGAACTCTAAATGGACACTAGTACTGGCCAGCCAGAATTCAACTCCGGGACCTCTGAACTCTAAATGGACACTAGTACTGGCCAGCCAGAATTCAACTCCGGGACCTCTGAACTCTAAATGGACACTAGTACTGGCCAGCCAGAATTCAACTCCGGGACCTCTGAACTCTAAATGGACACTAGTACTGGCCAGCCAGAATTCAACTCCGGGACCTCTGAACTCTAAATGGACACTAGTACTGGCCAGCCAGAATTCAACTCCGGGACCTCTGAACTCTAAATGGACACTAGTACTGGCCAGCCAGAATTCAACTCTGGGACCTCTGAACTCTCAATGGACACTAGTACTGGCCAGCCAGAATTCAACTCCGGGACCTCTGAACTCTCAATGGACACTAGTACTGGCCAGCCAGAATTCAACTCTGGGACCTCTGAACTCTAAATGGACACTAGTACTGGCCAGCCAGAATTCAACTCCGGGACCTCTCAACTCTAAATGGACACTAGTTCTCTAACCAATTCATCTCCCTGGCCAAAAATAAGACGCAGTTCCGCTGTTTGTTTGAGTGGTTTCATATCTGCTTTACCAGAACAATTTATATCAGTTGTACAGTTCACAATATTAAACTGCGATTGGAAACCAGAAATGATATTTCTAGGAATATATTTACATTTTTCAGTACCAGAAAGTATACGTTTACATACATAATGGTATCCATCACTGATTACTTGTTGATCACAAAGTAAACAGATACATTCATCCCTAAGAACATTTTCCCACCAGAAACAACTTCAACAGGAATTTAGTGGTTACATGTTTGATAATATATGAAAGACAATGTTTCTTAAGTTTTTCGGTAAGATCAAAAGATAGGGTTCTAGCTTTTTCCATTTAAAAAAATCAAAATACTGTATACACTTTTACCAAAATGTTACACTAGTGTATCAAGCTACGGACTTTAGAGTCTTTCTAAAATACACCGATGTGGGTTCTTATTATACTGATTGTTGAAGTTTTGAGACATTCAACCATATGAATCTGAAGCCAGTTTCGTTGAAAATATTTTTAATAAAAGTAAACCATTTTATGGGTACCGAGAGTAAACTCAGTTATCCATGAATGGGTACCGAGTAATTCAGTTATCAATGAATGGGTACTGAGTAATTCAGTTATCCATGAAGCAGACGATCTCACCCAGTTCAGGTTAACAATGTATATATATATCTAATGTATAGGGTTACATTTCAGATCACAGGTTGTAATATTTTACAAATGCAACATTGTAATTTGCAGAACAATTTTTGTATATTCTGGGACAATACAGGTAAGTTAACCATGGGTCTTCTTTTCATACTCGTATATATATACAAAATAAAGATGTGGTGGGAAATTTCTGTTCCTTAAGTACAAAGAAATTAAATATGTAAGTATGTCAGCTGAACAGTACTTGTAGCAATATTCAATGTTTTACAATACCTATTAAAAAATTTGCCATTAACAAATAAAACGCGAAATTCATATTTTCTAATTGGTATGTTGAATAAATAGCATATCCATACATGAAAATAAATAGCGATTAAAAATTCCATTAAATTTTATTCATTTTTACATTGAAACTTTAGGTACCTCTTAAAGAAAGGTACATGTACGATTGCAATTAAATTGATATAAACTGTGATGGATCATTGAATAAATGCAATTTAGGTACTGATGATGTATATAAGCTGGCCATTAATTCACTCCAGGAATATAACTTATAAAGGTCTTTTACTGATAAATGTCTTACACATATATTAATGACTGGAATATTTTGGAAAATAAGCATCAAGGTAATTCTGCGGACAAGAAATAAGAACGGTATTTATCTTTCATGATCTTAATGTTCATTGAGTGTCATTCACATTGTACTTGCTAATGTTAGTGCCCTTTATATTGAAAAGAGTTTTTGATTTTAATTAAAAATAATTAGCATTTTGGACAAAAGGAAGTAGTTGGACAGTGGCCTTGTAAATAAAAGTCAATTAGCTTTTCATAGTAAGTATTTGTCCAGCCATTAAATGGAGATCTATAATCATAATATATTGATGGACCCATTCACTGGTCACCCCTTCAGTCCAATTTTGACATGGAAGCAAATATCAAATATTTGAAGGACACATATAAGCTTAAATCCGTTTTTAAAATCGCAATGGCTCTTGAAGAGATCTTATTGCCTTCCAAAGATATAGCAAGTGTCACAGGACAACACATACGAACAATACCTTCGTGATTTACCTGGCTAATAATCGGGGTTTTAAACTTGGCGCACCGACAATAGAGCATGTCCAATCACGAACTCCCTTCGTTACGGTCTTACCTAGATTTGTAGATCTTAGTTTATTCCCTTCAATTTCCAACTGGCGTATTTGGTCAAGAAGCTCTGAGGCAGAAGATTTCTTCGCTGGTAATCCTTTCCCTGGAAGAGCAGGCATAGGTGCACCACCTATCGTAGCAACAGGTGCTGAAGCAGAAGCGAAAGGGGTGCTCAACCCCGTTGCCATTTCGTCTGCGTTTGACCTAATTTGAGCGATTCATTTGTCTGTAAAATAAGAAGATTCACATAAATGGGTTGTTGTGAATGTACAGTAACCTTCTCAATTCAATACTAGGGTAGATTTCCTCTAAACAGAGCTGTCGTCACACTTACCTTACTGTAAACAACTGTTGTCCGAATGTCAGTGGCAATGTTTTCATATCGAGCGGGTGTGCGGAAGTGAGACACTGCGCATGACTGATGGGAAGTAACGGCACATTCTCACCTGTGTCGGACGGGTGAGACAAGATGAAAGGGGATATGGCTAAAGAGATAATGAGACGAAACAGACAATACACGATAATCGCGGCCTATGTCATCATTTGTTTACGATACCCGGGCCGGCAGAAACGTATCATAACTTCACATAGATCTGCCAGGCAGTTTTCTTAGAGAAGTAGCCCCTGGAAATATGGGGACGGGCAATAAATAATATATATGCATATTGTATTAGGGGTAACATTGTAATAATGTTAATATTTTTAACAAGACCATTACTGGCCGGCTAAGTTCCGGCTGTCGAAGCAATGGGAGGAATGAAATAATTTTAAAAAATAATACCGCAAATTATTAAGAGTAAATTAACTGATTTTTGGATAATTAAGGAATGACCAAGATATTATTTTGGTAAAAACGGTATATACCGAAAAAAATGTGCACTTTGCATAAATCCGCGAAGCGATTTATGCAAAAAAGTGCACATTTTTTTTTTTTGGTATATACCGTATATACCAAAAAAAACATCTTGGTCATTCTTTATAATTTAATTTTAAAAAAGTAGACAAACACGTTGTAAATGCACAGTTAAAGATTTATATAATTTTACGTAAACTAAACAATTGCGCTAAAAAATGCTGCGTTGTAATTTACATTCTGAAGTGTAAAAAGTAGTTCCGTCATCAGTTGTTTTTCTTTTAAGGTATATACGATATATACCAAAAAACAAACATGGGGGAGGTAGGCAAAATTAAATTATTGTTTCGTGTTCTGTTTAGTTTCACGAGATAACACCCCCGTGCTAACCCCTTTTTATCTGATAGAATATTGCAAAGAACATTCTGTCGGACATCTTTTTCACCAAAAAAACTGCCCGGCAGATTTGTATTAAGTCATGATACTTTTTTTGCTGGACATATTTTTCTCTAAGAAAACTGCCGGGCAGATTTATATTAAGTCATGATACATTTCTGCCGGACATATTTTTCTCTGAGAAAACTGCCGGGAAGATTTATATAAATTCATGATACGTTTCTGCCGGCCCATATCGGTCATCGTATTTGTGTGTGTACTAAAAAAATATCTAGCAAACATTTTCAGTTCTGTTCTTTACTCGAAACCTAACAATACACACAGTCCGATAATATATTCGTCGTTAATGTATGCAGCACGTGTTTCCAGAAATCTCTCCGTGTGTATTGCTAAAGCTGATCACCAACTTTGCTAAAGGGTTTGACTAATCGTGTTGCTATGCTTTCGTTAGTTTGATAAACATAAAAACAGTTCTGTTATATTTTATGGTATGTCGATCGTTGTCATTTTATTGCAAATGCTATTATCCCCGCGGTTACAGGATGTACCATTTCTGTGATTTTCTATTTATGTATTTATTTATGTATTTGTTTCACTTATTAAATCATTTTTCAAATAAGAATAAAGTTGAGACTATTGTTTATCATAGCACCATGAACGTAGAGAGATGTTGATAAAGTAAGTTTGTTCGTATATGAACATTACAGTCTGGCCCACCTGAACCACTAGCTAAAGTGAGATATTAAACTAAATTATATGTCCAGGCACGGACTTTAATCTAATTCCGTGGTCCAGGACACTTTTTGCTAAGCTATGGGGGTATGATAATTCAAATACCTGCCATCAGGTCATTGTCGTGTTGTCATGAAAACCAAATCAACGGTAACCATAGGACTGATCATAACGTTATTACCATAACGTTTTGATACATGATACATGTCAACTATATATATATAGTATCTGAAAAACATTAAAAAAAACCAGACAAATAAACAAAACAAAAACGAGACAGTTTATTTATTATGACCACACATAAATAAATTCACATGCCAAATTTATTTCTTCAGTTAGTTACTTGATTTTCCTTATTGATTTATTGGAAGTTAAAAACAAAACTGGAAACATTTTTGTAACATGACGTACCACGGAATTAGATTATCTAAGTCCGTGGTGTTACTAAGCAGCTTACTACTTATTTGACCTGTCAGTTTTCAATATGTATTTTGTATTTACATGATAAAACGATATACAGTTATGATGATATGTAACCATACGTTAACGAGAGAGTTGTTATTTTCGATACGACGCCAAGAATTTTCTATCTTATACAAACAAGCCTTGTCCAGTTGTTTCCCTTGTAATAGATTGCATAAGACTATTCGAGTTATCGAACATTACTATATCCACTTTTGAGAGTGCGTCTAAATTGCCCACAGATCACAGTGACACCTATGACGTAGACTATTATGCTCATTACACCGTAATTGCGATCCACACACGTAATTGTAAGGATTCCGAGTACGCTGTATTTCATTCTGGTTAATACAGATAAATTGAATTTTAAATTAATCGTACGTGGAACGGTCATTTTAGTCAATCTCCATCGTCGGAAAGTCAAACCACGTTCGATTGTACTACCGTTTAATGCATGGAATACATTAGGGGGTAATATATCTCAAATATAACAAATGTTTCCTTTAGAGATTGTTCATCATCTTCAAGACAGAGTGTTGAATCATCTGCATATTGACTTAGTAGGTATTCAGAGTGGTCAATATTAAGCCCTTTAATATCAGGGTTAAATTTTAAGGAACTGCTTAGTAATTCCACAGACAAAATGAACAAATATGGGAAAAGAGGGTCCCCTTGTCGAACTCCTCTTTTAATGTCAAAAAATCTTGATCCGTGACCGTTATTATAAATACAACTTGTAATATTTTTGTAAAAAGTTTGTATCCGCTGTCTAACAATAGGTCCAAATCCTTGAAACTTTAAAGCTTTTTGTATAAAATGCCATTCTAGAGAGTCAAATGCTTTTTCGAAATCTAATAGAATAAGTAGCCCTGGAATATCGTTTTCATTAGTCTTTTCAATAAGATCAAGAATAAGACGTGTACATTCACCTATATATTTACCTTTAATGAACCCCTTTTGAGTATCGCTGATTAAGTCTTGTAAAACTGGTTTTATTCTATTTGCAATACTTGCTGCTGCACTTTTATAGTCCACATTTAAAAGAGATATTGGACGCCAATTTTTCAAAAATAGTTTTGACTTTCCGTCTTTTGGGATACATTTAATTACGCATTGTCTATGAGAAATAGATAGTTGTCCTACTTCTAATGCTTTGTTAAGAGAATTTATAAGAGGTTCATGTAAATCATTGAAGAAAAAGTTATAAAATTCAACTGTGAAACCGTCTAGACCAGGTGATTTAAAGTTCCCCATATTTTTTAAAGAATTTAAACATTCCAATATACTTAACAAGATTTCCATCTTATTAGCTTGTTCTGTTGTTATTTTTTTGTTATATCGGTTTTCTTCATTGAAAAAAAAAATCAGAATGTGCGTCATCAAATGTTTGCTTCTTTACTGATGTATAGTTCCTCATAACATTTAGCTTGTTCTGTTATTATTTCTTTAATATACGTAATCACTTTATTTTTATCCGTTAATTTAGGTATGAGCTTTTCGGTATAATGACGTTTTTCTAGGTTACAGAAGTAATTTGTGAAATAAAGTGGGATGATATATTTGGAAATATGCCAATTTGGGAATGGAAGAAACTGTACATTCAAAACTACAACGGCTGCAATTTAGAATCAATCATTACATTTAAATTACAAATAACTTTCTGAAAACGATTAATTTGGTTCAGTCTGATATTTGTAATTTTTGCTTTATAGTAAAAGAAACTATTCAGCTTGTACTATGGGAATGTAACAAACTCCAAATTCTTGCTATCTAAATTTGGGGTTAAAATGTAGAGTGACTACGACATCTTTTAAGGAGGCTTGTTGAACCTTATGCGTTATCGTCACCCATCCGGCTACATCGGACATAGACTAATATGGAAATACAAATTGTGTTAACCCAAACACCTGTCGCAGTGTGAGAAACTTAATCACCCATGTTTTTCAGTATTTTGAGCATTTTCCAAAGGAGGACCCCTTTTTCGTCATACGACTTCTTTTTGCAGATACTGTTTTTTAAGTCTGGGAAACTCCATCACTTTCTATAATGGCAGTATTATATTAACAATACCTAATAGCTCAGCATTTCAAAATTTCATATTCAATCGGTTTTATATCCATTCCATGCATTTTCGCTACTAGAAATTATTTTCTCATTAATGTTTTTTTTCCGTTTTCATAAATGTCGGCTTAGGGAAATATGGGCAGTTATCCGCCATAGCTCTTTGAAAATGGCTGGGAAAATGGGATAGAATGCTTCATTTATAATCTATGATACTTACAACATCCACCGTAGATGGGTGTGGTTGGGTGATAGGTGATTGTGTGACCATGTGCTCTGTCACATCTATCCTGGAAAACGTTTAAAAATAACGTTACAAACACAAAAACAAAAATATTATATTGAAATATATAGAGAAAGTCCATATCATAACATTTGTTGTGAACACCTTAGAGCTCGGCAGATGTCATTTAAGCGTTTTCAGGACACCGCGGAAAAAAATATTAACGTGATTGATGAATATCACATTAGAAATAAATAGAATAGATTTAGGAAACATTTCAGATAATGATAACGATAGGCCTATTAGTTATTACAAAAGAGGGTGACCGTCTAGTCACCAGTTTCCGCGCGTTATGTATTTCCGCGCAGTCATCTTATCAAGCTATATCTCGTAACTACGTGACCTGCTGGACACAACACAAGGAAATTTTAGACGTTTAGCCATCGTCTGTAAACTGACACAAAAATTACCGGATGTTCGTCCGGAAAACATAAGAAATAATCACCGATTAAAAAAACACGCATACATATGCAGTTTTGCTTAATGCACTTTTTATCTTGCTCAGAATGAACCCATACCTGAAGAAACGGTGATATATTTCATTCATGAACCGGTCATTTTTGTAGTCTGACAAACGTACGAAAACGTCGTATGCAAATGAGGCCACATCTCCTCGCCGA